CGCCGACTTGAGTTTCAACAGGGTATGCTTGCAGCTTATGTTGATCTCAAGAAGGCTTTCGACTCAGTGCACCGGGAGAGTCTCTGGAGCCTACTGGGTCTCCGTGGGATCCCCCCTGGAATTATTGGTTTGCTGTCTGGCCTGTATACAGATACTGAGAGTGCTGTCAAGTGTGGGGAGGGCATCTCTGCCTTCTTCCCGGTGTCTGCCGGGGTGAGACAGGGATGTGTCCTGGCCCCAACCCTTTTCAACACTTGTATGGACTGGATACTTGGCCGTACCGTGAACCGTAGTTCCTGTGGGGCATCAATTGGTAATTTCAAGGTCACAGACCTTGACTTTGCCGATGATGCAGTGATTCTAGCGGAGACATTAGAGGTCCTGGAAGTAGCTCTCGAGGCGCTGCATGAGGAGGCAAAGCCATTGGGACTCGCGGTCAACTGGACCAAGACCAAGGTTCAGGAATTTGGGGACTTTTTGGATGTCGATGCTCAGTCTGTGCATGCCTGTGGCGAGAACATTGAGGTCTTGGATAGCTTCACTTATCTTGGTAGTGTAGTGCAGACCGACCGAGGTTCCGACCGGGAAGTCACTCGACGACTCGGACTGGCCTACGGCGTTATGGACTCACTCAATAGGAGTATTTGGCGCTGTCGGTATTTGACTAGGAGAACTAAGATCAGGCTCTTCAGAGCACTGGTGATCCCGGTCTTGCTCTACGGGTGTGAGACCTGGACACTGAACAGTGCTCTGAAAGCCCGTCTTAACTCCTTCGGTACTAAGTGTCTTCGCAGAATCATGGGGTATACCTGGAGGGACCATGTGTCCAATCAGAGGATACTCCATGAGACTGATTCAAGACCTATTACCAGTCTGATACGAGAGCGCCAACTTCAGCTCTATGGACATGTGGCTCGTTTCCCTGAGGAAGATCCGGCTCATAGGGTCATCTCCGAGAGGGTTGACCCAGGCTGGAGAAGACCAAGGGGAAGGCCACGGAACTCATGGCTGAAGCAAGTCGATCAGATCTGCCAAGATGTACTGGGAGTGGGAAGGAATGCTGCATGGAGGCTCGCTCGGAGGGACCCCAGGAGATGGAGGCAAAGGTTGGGCGCGGCAAAGCGCAGCCATGCGTATGCCCCCTTATGATGATGATGATATCGGCAGTCACTTTGAGTGTGGAGGGAGCAGTTGTGGAATTTGAGGGTGGAGGAGGAGTTTCGGTATCAATTTGGGACTCGAGTAGATAGTTTTGAATATCTTCAATAGTTTCTGTGAAGGAGTTAGTTGGGGAGTTTTGTGAGGCAAAGGTTTTCTTGTGAGGGGGGAGGAGGAGACTGGTGTCTGAGGAATAGAGGAAAAGTTAGGTAGGTAGGTGGAGGTGAGTATGTGGTAGAAGAAGTGGTGGAACGTTTAGTCTGTCTGCTGCGGGTAGTGCGGGGGAGAGCGAGGGAAAGGCGTTGGGGCTGCAGTAGAGATCGGAGTGTCTGGATTTAGAATGACAAAAGAATTTGACTGAGGAAGGTGGGAGGTAGAAGTGGGGAAGTAAGATGTAGGAGGGATAGGTATAGGGGAGGGTGTAGGAACATCTTGGGAGAGATGGAGGGGCAGAGCGAGCGACTAAACTGGGATAGGGAGTAAGAGAAACACCTCGTCGACGTGCTTCCTGTCTGACTTCACGTACAGTGAGTCCAAATCTGAATCTGAGTTTCCACCTCAGACTCAAATCTGTAGGTGGGGCAGCCCCTATAAAATACATCATGGGGGCCGCCACACTTGGCACATATGCGTGACTCTGCAGAGCAGTTTGATCGAGTATGACCAGGTTGGGCACATAGAGGGCATCTGGGTGTGGAACGGCAATGTTTGGCAGGATGTCCAAAACGCCAACAGTTTTGGCACTGATGGGGAGGAGGTTCATATGGTTGGACAGGGAGGGATTCTCCACCAATGTAAACCTTAAAGGAAAGGTCTTGTTTACGGAAAGTAATTTTGGCAATGTTGGTGGAGTTCTTACGATGACCTTTAGGAGGAATGGAGTAGCACTGAACTAATATCGTATCATAGTTCGTGAGGCAGGCAAGTAAGTCTTCTCTACAATCTGACCAATTTTTGTTATAGATAGGGCAATTTGCTGGGGGAGATAGAGACAGTTCCGGTGCAAGTATTGAGGGTTGGATGAGGTTCTGCAGAAATGAGTTGATAACGATCGGGTCGGCTACGGAAAGACTTTGCCTACTTATTTTTGGAGACATTGCTGGATAAGGAGTGTTGTCAGAGTAGGGAGGGATCACAAAAATCGATACCATTTGGCTGGGCTAAATAGAGTATTTAAGCTATTTGTAGCGATGAGGGTAGGATGAGGGCGTGTGAAAAAGGGAGTAGTGTTGAGGGAGGTAGTATTACGGAGAGGTGGACAATTAGGCTGTAAAGTAGTAATAAGGGACGATGGGGTAGTTGATGAAGAAGGTTGTTGGGGTAGAGGTGAGGAAGTTGAGCATGTTAGGAGAGTAGGAATGTCTCCTGGAGAATGAGTGTTGATTTGAGTGGATAATATATTAGTAGGCATTGAGGAGGGGGTAGTAGTTGCAGTTCGGAACTGTGGTCAAAGGAGAGGCTGGGGTCGGGGAATCGGGAGTTTGAATTGATGGGGCTATTTGATGATGGGACAAGCTTCATTGCCCCTAATAAGGGTATAACATCTTTATTATTGACCATGGTATGCTGGGGAGAGAAACAGTCCACCCCTCAGGGTTCCCTTGAGGGGTAAGGGCTAGACAACTAAAACAGGGGAATATCATGCCCATGGCTCCCTCAGGCCATTCAGGACTGGCACAAACTCAGCCTTTCATCCTTTCAGCACGGCTCTCACACCTTAGGAGGTGGATAGTAGAAGGGGTTGGGGAAGGGACAGAAAAGAAAAAGCAGGAAGGAAAAAAAGACCGTGCAAAATTAGTTGAGTCGAGGGCTGAGTCCCAAGGCAGGAGAGTTCTCCAGAATTGGTCCCAATCCTCACCTCCTAAGCCCCCCACAACAACAACGGGCAAGGTATTGGAGGAGGATGTCAAATGTTTTTTATTTTTCAGGTACATGACAATTGTTACTAGATCACTCCTACAGAACATTAGTCTATATAATAGTTTACCCTTCATAAAGTATATCTTCAACTTTATCTTTAACATTCCAAAAATGTCATTTCATATACCTTTATTTCATATTCATAATTCTTATTACACAATCAGTTACATTAATATGTTAGAATCATCATCATTTAATTTCTTATGGGATTTCAGAAATAATATTGCATGGTTACTGATCTTTCTTTTATTATTTCAAATAATATGTACAAGATTTGTATGCTCGGTTAAATAAATATTTTTTTCAGGTACATGACATTTGTTACAACAGATATATAAAAGAACACAACAGTTTATCATTTATAAAGCAACATTTTGATTTCATCAGGAACATTCCAAGAAATTTCTCCACTTGTATCTTCCCCATTGGGTGACTGCTCTACATTATTTAAAGTGCAACTTTGTGAAGAGGAGTCTACCTCTGATATACGGTCCAAGGGTAGTGAAAAGCTTTCATTTCTTTGTAAGTGCTTTTCAGAACTTACATTGTTATTTTTCATCAATATATCATTTCTGGTATTGTCTAATATATGACTACTCTTTACCTTTTTACTTTTCATTTTCTTCTGATCTTCATCTGGTTGGTCATAATGAAATCTCCCTTCAAAAGAAGGCATTTCATCTCTGTTGGTGGACCAACTTGAGTATCCTGGGGCCATTCTTGACTTCCTTGATGATCTCATACACTTTTCTAGATGGGTGATCTCTTCCTGTATCTTCCTATCATTTTCTAAAGTGGAGTTTGATCTGAAACTCTTGTCATGAGCACTTGATACTCTCCTGCTATGCTTAGAGATGTTATTAATGTTCAGTTTCCCTCTGTGTAAAGGTGAGCTGCCTTTGACAGTCAACTCTGCATTTTTTTTAGGCAGTGGACTGGCATTCAATAGTGAGCTGCTACCCTGCAACAGGTCAGAAACCCTCTTAGGTTTACTGTCATTATGTTGAGTGGTCTTGGTCACAATCCTGCTCTCAGAGCTGCATCTCCTTTCTTCAATTAGAGCTCTGTGTGTTGACAATTCTTCCTCATGGTCTTTCAAAAGTTTCTCTACTTCTTCCTCCCGTTTCCTCTGAAACTTTTCTCTTAGCTGTGCTTGCTTTTCCTCTCTTTCTCTGCTACGCTCACGAAGTTGCCTACTGGTCAATGTACCATTCATAAAACTTGTAGCTCTTTTTGCTGGATTCTGAGTAGGAAATTGTAAAATAATTAAAAAGTTGCATATATATATACTTTAAAAAAAGAAATTATGAACAGTAATTTAGAGAGATAGCTCCAAGTCTTAATATGTGATGAGGAAGCAATATCTGTATCAGTGCTAGACAAGAAGCTAATGCAGGAAAAACATCAGGAAGAGAAAATTACTATAATATGAAACTGTTCTTGCAATCTGTGAAGCCTTACCTTTGAAAGCATGTTAGCATTCTGAGTGGACTGGGCTTGGGCCAGCCTCTTCTTCCGCTGCTCCCTCATCCATCTTCTGATGCTTTCACGTTTCTCACGAACTTCAGTTTCACGGGTTAATGCTGGAGAACTTGGTTTCTTATCACTATGTTGTGGCAAGTTGTGATAATCATTACTGGAGTCAGATCTGAAAAAATTAAAAAATAAAACTTGTATGAAAATAGGCAGACCTATGTCTAAAAATTTGCTGCTAAAAGAAATGCCAGTTTTTGCATGAAATGTGATTAAATATCTAGCAAGTATAAAGAAAATGCATTCAGAAAGAAAGGCATTCATAATTATGTGGTACTCCATACACAGGGCTTTTGTCTGGCTCATGGTAGAGTATGTGAGACCTCATTCCATCAATCCAGGCACAGAATCATGTGACAAGGCATCACCAGTCATCTGTGATTATTCACCATGACATGGTTGCACATCATCTGACACCATAAGCTTGCTAATATAGTTTATTTCACATTACTCATATACAACTAAATCAACTTCAGCATCAAGGGGTCCTTACCTGAGACTAGTGAGATCAAGATGCAGCACAGGTGAGCTCTTCAGTGACTGTTGGCTGGCAAAGCTGATACCAGCTACATTAGAGCACTGGCTATTGATGTCTCTTCTGGGAAATGAACTAACTGCATTGGATTGCAAAAGGCTGAATTGTGTGTCATTTACGGTGTAGGTCTCACAGAGGGGCTGAGAAGTATTGGAAGTAGGTTCTGTATGAAGTCCTTCCTCAAGCCCTACATACTTCATTATATCATCTATAACTTCAAATCTCAAATCATTTGGTTGCATATCTTCTATATACTTTAATAGTATGTCACTTTTGCCAGTTTTTAGGAACAATGACTTTGTAGTTTGCCATTCATGATTTTTACTTCTTGGGGATTCTCCAGACATACTAGGAACACCCATCTGGATAGCCTCTGATGCCTTCTTAGCACCACTACCTGAATATGTCTGCTGTCTCTGGCTCTCCAATTCCCCTGCCACTTGCACTAATGAGCTGATCTTAGATATGAATTGTCTTGATTCATGAAGTCCTTTCACTGCTTCTTCTGCTTCTCTTTCTAAGGCCTGGATGGTCATCATGGGATCTTCTTTTTCTGACATACTCCCTTCTTGAGTATTGTCTTCCTTGACTGCCCCTGTACTAAATTTACACATTTCCTCAAAGGTTATCTTTCCTTCGGAGAAAGCTTCCACAAGATCATTCATTGTCATCTCTTCCTTTCTTGAGCCTAACACAGCCTGCAATTTGTCTTCATATGGTACATGAACTTCTGGTTCTTTCTGTTCACACTTATGAATAGTTCTGTTTTCTTGTAATGGAGACTCCAAATTTCTTTCTTGGATAAAATCAATTGGCTTTTTTAATATGCTATCTGGTCTAGCTTTAGTCTTTGAAATTTCTCTTTCTCTATATGAAGCATCAGAGGTCCCTTCACAATGTGATTTGGACCTTTCAACCTGAGCATCATCAACATTGTCTTCAAACCATCTTTGGAAGTTACTCCCATGACTTTGGGAATCTGATATTCTTACTTCATTTAACGGTCTGTTATCTCTGATTTCCCTTTTTACTTCTATATCCCTTTCAGCCACTGACTTGTCAATCTTATCTAAGTCCTCGCCATAGATGGTTTCATTGAGTTTATCTCCCATTGCATCCAAATGACCCTGCACAATTTCACGGGGAATATCAACTTGTGTCAGCACACTGGATAGATCTTTACTGCTTTGCTGAAGACTGGCCCTATCCACATCTAAGAGTGTTGGGTTGAGTGAGAGTGCCATCTGGCTAGGCTTTCCTGGAGGTGCTGCTGGTGGGGGCACTGGAGAGTATGAAGGGGGTGAAGCAGGGGGAGGTACCAGAGGTGGCACACAGTAACCATCCGTCTGCTGAAGTGTCATTGCTACAGCATGGTCTGTCTGAGTCTGAAATGAAGTTTTCATTAGATCTTTTTTTGCTCATTTTAATTTTATTTTGTAAAATGTCTCTGCTAGTGCTTAGCCACAAAGGAGTCAATTAGTAGACCTTGTGACCTTACCTGATTTCACCTTACCTTGAATTGGCAGATTTTTTTTTTTTTTTTTTTACTAATGTTTTTACTAATGCTATGAATATTGATGGTGTTATTTTTATAACAGACATTAAAATTACTATAATGTTATTGACATTAGTAACAGCAATATAAGATATAAAACATTTTTGAAAATCAAGGAAAAGGGTAAATAGGTGAGACAGGCAGTACTCATAATTGGCTCATTTGTGACTTAGTACAAGTGTAGCCATCTATTTGTAAAAACAATTAATAAAGTAAAATCACAATTCCCGTTGGATCTGGGTTAAGAATAATGCAGAAGCATGGAAACAGTGCAGACAGTCACAGAAAAAAATGAGACAAAAGAGTGAGGGAGAAAAAAGGAAAAACAGCCATTATGGTATAATGCTAGGGCTTGCCTGTTATTCAGACAACCTGATTTCAGTTCCAGGGGTTATTTGAATAAGGAATTATTGAAATCAAAAGGAGTAAAATGACATCAATCCTTAGAAAGCAGGACAGTCTACACAGTTATTTCCCTGAGGGTATTATTATACAGTCTAAAAAGAATAACACATCAAATGGTCCTTAATAAGATAGCATAAACTGTACTGATTATATATTTATATGGAGGTCAGTAGAAGCATGTGATATGGCATGGTATAAAAGTTCAAGTACAAAAAGAAAAAAAGTGAATACTACAGCTAGAGGAATTTATTTCAATCTTGTATGTCATCCATTGAAGGTCATCTCAATGAATATTTAAAGATTTTGATGCTAATGGAATCCTAAATACAAAAACTATTTTCTGCAATAGTTCTGAGATATGGTACTCCACTTACTTGCATATTCTTTCCGCAGCTTGCTACCGGGCAGGGAATTTCTGTTGGCTTCGTTTCTAGGTCAGAATCCTTCACTCCAATTACTGCATCCTTCTGTGGCCTTGTTTCTACAGGAGCTATTTCTTCCTGATTCTGTTTTGCTGAGGTTTGGCTATAATTTTTACTGACCTCATTTTGATGATCAACTTCTAGTAATGTGGCAACTTCATCTGACCTATTCTGAAGAAAACTGGTTCTAGAAATGCTTTTATTGCTTTCTTGTGGAAGTATGTTAACATCCCTCTTTTCCTGATTATCAACTGTCCCTGTAGTCCCAATCTTCTCATTAATCTCTGCATGACTGAATTTTTTTCTTATAGTCTGTTCAGTATCCCTACATGATAATAGGGCTGTATCCCTTGTGATATCAACTTTAACATTTTGTGAATTGTCTACAGTTTGAGTTTCTATACTGTTTACAACTGGCTGAGGGGTAATGTGCTGGCATGCTTTATCCACTCTCTGTGTTGCAGGAAAGTGAAGCATGGCATCCTGTTTCATCCCATACTCTTGGTTAACTTTTAAAAGCTTAGGCTTCTCTGGTTCACAGCTGGCAGGAGACTCTGATACTTTCCCATTCAAAGCTTTATTATCACTGGTTACATTGCCCTTTTCTTTGTTCATTTCATTATGTGTGTCATTAGTCACTTCTATGTTGCTTCCAGCATGTGGATCTAGAAAACCAAAGCTTTTAACTTTAATTCCTTTACTTATTTCGGGCTTTTCTACTGAATTTTTATTTTGAATTACCTTGAACTTTGCAAGCTTTTCTTTCTTCACATTTCTGTCTGCAAATGTGAAAACTTGTTGTGGGTCCAAAAGTTTCAGGGACTTCTCTTGAGCAGATTTCTGACATGGGGTATAAGTAGGCACAGCTAATAAAGTCATTTGCTCTTTAAACATATTGCTTGGAGGTTCCTTCTTAAACTTCAACATCTTTGTTCTCTTCATATGACTACCAGCATCTTCTGACTTATGTTCACTTGTTTTTGTTACAAGTTTCTTGCTTTCTGGCAAATATTTGTTTTGAAGAAACTGATATGGTATTTTCTTTAGTGTCAATGGCTGATATCTTTCTGTGGCTGGCTCACTGAATTCAGTGGGAAGTGACACTGGTAGTGTCAGTAGCTTAAAGGCCTGGCCATCAATACCTTTTTGCTTTGGAACAATACTGACATCTTTCCTAGTAACATTCTGCTTGCCGCTTGTAACCTCTGTATGGATAGGATTGACATGAATAGGGACTGCCCTGGTATCTAGGCGTTTAGAATGATCTAGATTTAATTTAGCTGGACGATTAATTGTTACAGTTGTGTTCATCTTCCTGCTTTCATTTTTTGTTACATGGCTTCTAAACTTTTCCACTTCATTCTCCTTTTCACAACTGGATACATACTGGCCGTCTTCCTCCAACTCTGAAACATGGAGGGATTCTGGAAGAGTGACATCATCCAGAGTATTGTCATTTGGGAGAGCAATGGAATTAGAAAGACAAGTATTACCCCCATCATCATCACTATCAAGATCAGATAAGCTTAGCACTCTACTGTCTTGATGAGTGTTCATTCGCAGAATCTTTGGGGGACCATAAAAAGGGGTATCCAAAACCTCAGAAGGAGTCTCGACTGGTGTGAGGCTCTTCTTCTTGTGTACAGCTGCAGTGGAGGATTCCTGTTGCTTTATCTGAGCCCCCTGTCCTTTAGCCTCAATTACTAATCTAGGAGCTGGTGGCTTTTTGGACATTCTAGATTTTGGTCTAAAAGGTTTCCATGAATTATCAGAAAGAGGGACTGAATATTGTGTTGAAGCATCCACAAAGTTACGGTCTGCTAAACACGAGACTGAAAAATTTGGCTTTGTTAAATTATCTGCTTTAAGGTCTTCTTTATGAACTAAATCTGATTTGTTATTTTGTACTTCACTGTTTAAATGTATATCCTTTGATGAATCCATTCTTTCACTGTTCTCAAGTTTATTATCTTTACTTTTCCCTGGTTCAGCAGTAGCACCAAAAGATGGACTGACTATAGTATGCAATGCAGAGTTATCATCCTGGACACTCGCTACTTCCTGATTGTCATCTGGTATATCCTTCTCCTCTTCCTCCCTTCTAGTCATTTCTGCCTCATTCATTATCAGTTCTGTCTCGTTATCTTTACTAAGATTGTCTCCCTCAGTTGCTCTGTTAACTTTAATGCCTTGAGTTTCCTCCTCCACTTTTTCAGCAATGTCTATACTTAAACCTCCTGCATCTATCACATCTCTTTCTTCTTTGCTTATTTCATTTTCCTCTGTGGCTGATGTTGGAAGCACTTTAGAATTTTTTCTCTTATTTTCAGCCTTTTTCTCTGAATTCACTACATGATCCTCATGCAAATTTTCAGCTAAAGTTTGTGCAGGCAGTATGTTTGATTTAACAGCAGACAGTTCACCAACTAGTGCTGACTTCTTTGTTTTCATTTTCCCACGTTTCTTCGTCATGGAGTTTTGGGATGTAACTGGAAGTGATTTATTTTCTGAAATAAAATCCCAAGAAAATGCAAGTATGATGTCATGTAGACTAAGATCAACTTTCTTGAAGACTGAGTCTTCTCCATTCTTTGGAACTGCACTTGAAAGACAGAACTTCCTTTCCCTGCTCAGTATCCACTGCATTAAACAAATGGTGTCATGAAATCCCTTATGCTGAATATTAAGGAGCAAGTGATTATTGAGCATCAAAAAAAGATTTAGAGGAACTTCTTTGGTTAAAAACTCTTGGCAGAATCCAGAACTATTGGTATTTCTATCTTTTCTTTCAAGAGTACTTACTGAATGACTCCTCTTGATTGAAGAAACATTCTGTCTCTTCTTATGCAAAGATAATGAATTGTGTCTACTTCTTTGTGATCTGTTCTGCCTTGAATGAGATCTCCTATGTACTTTCTGAGGGGATGCACTTCCCATTGACTTTCTAGAGAAAGAATCATAGCGGCTCCAGGTTGCTTTGCTTTGGTCTAGTAGAGGAGTGCAAGTCTGAAACAAGTCTTGTGTGTCTGTCTTTGCTTTTAGCATTAGGCTTGAGCCTGTATCTTTCTGCCACATACATAAATTTCGAAAGAATCCCTTTCTCTCCTTAAAATCCCCTGTTGTTACTTCATCCAGAGCTTTAAAAACTGTGCAATTCTGATTTCCTTCAATAAATTCTCTCCCAGCTGAGAATTTCCTAAGATTCACAGCTTGGAGTTCTCTCTTCTTTATAAGTTCTCCAAATTCTGGGAATTTTGGGATTTGGGTGATGTGCTGAGGAAAATTTTCAGCATCTTTTCTGAAGGTCATGTTGGCATAGAGGGACAACATTTTCATGAACTCATCATTTGGGGACTCAAGGAGGATTGTCAAATTATCCTGTGGACTGACTGAATCCTGCACACCAAAATCCCCACTTTTAGACAGAGCTTCTGAACATGCATTTTCAAACAGGGTATAGAGAGTGGATGTTCTCTCATCTGTAAATAACTTCTTCTTTGTTTTCCTTCCTTTTTCAGTTAAATCTACCACACTGATCTCTGTCTTCTTCCAGAGGTCAAAGAGTCTGCTTGCTCTATCCTTTAACAAAGAAGGTAATTTAGAAGGATGTAAAATGAGCCTGGCCAAGGCCTGTGCCACTGATGGGGAAGGCAACACACTCCCTGCTGCTGTCAGACCTGTGGCAACAATGTCTTCCTTCCATGAACTGGACTCACTTAATTTGTACAGCTTCTCACACCAAAAAAGAATTTCTACTACTTCCTTTTCACGAACACTCCTTTTCTGTAACAGAAAATATAAGCAAAAATATGAGACCTACACTACAACTTATAATGTTATGCAAATTTAAGTATTGTATATGATCATGGTACTAGAGACACAATGCATGTTTATAATATTGATATAATGAAAATGTATATAGATATGATTTTTTATTTTTAAATTTTCAAGTGAATTAGTTGGGGTAAGTGCCACACTGTCATGTCAGAATACACAGGACTCTGAGATTCACCACAGACTGCTTCACTTGTCCATCCTTTTATATTACTTACATCTACAAACTTTGAGAACCAAAGTAGCAAACTTGTCACTCTTGTTTGATATGAACAAGTGGTAGACAAAACAGGCATGTCAATGATAGAAACCAAATTTTAATAGGGGATGCAAATTCACCATCATGGTTCTAAGTCTCACAAGTATAGTATACCTTGCTCTTCACAAAGGACTCTTTAGAATAGCTGCGCAGGCAGAGCCACAACTTGTCTCGTACTTGGAGCATCCAAAGCCATCTTAGAAATTCAAGCCATGACTGAGAGAGGCTTGGCCATCCAGAGGCATCTGCAGCTTCCACACAGCACTCAGCTGGACCCAACATGTCTGTCAGGCTCAGAAGATCTTGATAGGGTGGAACTTCACTCTGTAATCAGTCACATGTTGAGGGACTTACCACATGACAAACTGGGCTAAGGATGCAGTTGAACCAAGTCACTCACACAGAACAACATACCTCTGCATTTGGCTCGTGTGCACAGATCTCACGCAGCAAGGGCTGAGCGATGCCTGATGCACTCACCACAGAAGAAAAGAGCTGCACCCATCCAGCTATTCCCCACCTCAGAGCATGTTCATCTGAGCTACAAAACACCATAAAGTTAGCAGATCTCACAGATGGAATATAAAACAAAAATGAATACTTGTGTTTTTGTGTGTGTAAGAATGTGTTTCAGAGAGAGAGAGAGAGATTCAGAGAGAGAGAGAGAGAGATTCAGAGAGAGAGAGAGAGAGATTCAGAGAGAGAGAGAGAGATTCAGAGAGAGAGAGAGAGATTCAGAGAGAGAGAGAGAGAGATTCAGAGAGAGAGAGAGAGAGAGATTCAGAGAGAGAGAGAGAGAGAGATTCAGAGATTCAGAGAGAGAGAGAGAGAGAGAGAGAGAGATTCAGAGAGAGAGAGAGAGAGAGATTCAGAGAGAGA